ACAAGATTATGGAGCTGGGTTGGGAAGTTCTCCCTCACCCACCATATTCTCCAGATATGGCATCATCAGATTACCATCTTTTTTGTTTGTTGCAACACCATCTTAATGGGAAAACATATGCAAATGTGGAAGGTGTTAAAGAGGACATCAACATGTTTTCTGCTTCCTAGCCAAGTGATTTCTTTAATCAGGGCATTAACAACCTGATTGTAAGATGGAAAAGCATCATCGATAAGAATGGAGACTATTTCATTTAAGAAATGTTTTGTTTTGATACATAAGTTGTTCGGCTTTTTTTCATCTAAAAAAAAAGTGACATTAATTTCTTGATGACCTAATATCTAAGATTTTATTCCTTTATTTCAAAAGAAACCTCTAAAATGTTATTTAAAACTTCAGTTTTCTTGTCACATGATATGCTCATGGTTAAAATATCTTAGCTTTTCTTTCATTTCAACTGTGTTGTGTCTTAGTACAGGTTTTGCCCAGATGGTTAAAGAACACACATATGCTGCATGTTTACCATTAACTAGGTCGAATTCCAAAAATGACATTGTAAAATTTCTCCTCCATCAATAGGAGCTAAACTCACACAAAATTAGGAAGATTTGTTGCTTAGCAACAGATTATATTTGAATGGCATGCTTTTAATTGATAGAAAGAGTAGATTTTGAAATATATTTCCCATATGTTTTCTAATGGAACATGTGATGGAAACATAAACTACGAAGGCATACAATTGCTAAATGCATCGTTGGAAATTGTTGTTCCCAGGACTTGACTATTTTTTCTCGCCTTATACATATTAGTTTGATAGACAATTAAATTGCATTTAGGTTTGACTTTTATATTTTAGTTAATTATGTATTATGTGTGCTTTCAATAAGCATCAAGTCTTGTGCAAACAAAAAAAAATACATTTTTAATGAAGTATTTGCACTAAAAATTTCTCCATGAATATATGGTATCAAAGTGTTGATTTTCATGTTAAGATTAAAAATACTTTTCTTCATCTGAAAATTGTTAAGTCTCATTTACATAATCTCTAAAACTTCCTAATTAAATTTCAACACTTTTTTTCTCAGTAAAACTTTATAGTTTATCTCTTATTTTCTCTACCTAAACCCTCCTGGGGTGGTTGGTCAATTTGACTGATCTCTTAACCACCATACAAAAATACTAAATAAACATAACTTACCTTTTTTTCTTTCTAGAATGACTTCAACTTGTAACATTTGTGTATCCTAAACAGCTTGAAACTTGTATCAGTATACATCTCTTTCTACTTTACCTTTATTGTTTTATTGCCCTTTGAAGGGTGTATAACTCATAATCCCACCCCACAAGCTGTAAATTACTTGGCAAATGTGTAACTCATGTTACCCTATCTAATTATGTAAGGTATGGGCTACTAGTGAGCCACTCACAAACATAACTCATTAAAATTTTTTATTATTATTATTTTGTCTTTATTTTACCTAATCTAACCTTATCTATCTTAAAATGTTTCTATTTTTTACATTTTAGTTATTTTTGTAATGGTAAATAAAGAATACACATGAAAAACAAGAAATATAGTACTTACCTGGGTTGCCATTTTTTTTAGCTGTTGATTGTCAATGAAACTGAACTCTACTTTTCTATACTAATGGTACTACTGCACTAAATATTTTTTTATTTAATTAAATAATGAACCTAAGAACACAGAATAACAACATGTAAAAAGCAGGCACTGTCCTATAATTATTATAATTTTTCTGGCTTTCTAAGTATGAGATAAAAGCCATTAAGCCATATAAGACCTGCTACTGTGTGGATCCCTTTAGAACAATTTAAGATACAGATAGTAGCATAGAACAGTGGAAGGTGGGAGCTATACTTATAATATTGGTTGGGCTTAATATATTAATACCTTAACATCTTGATATTTATGCCCAAACATCATTTTGGAGGCTAAAATGCTAACTTCAAGGACAGTTTTGCTGTATCCCCATTGATGTAATGTATTCTATTATTTCTTGCTGCTTTTTTTATTTTTTTATCTGGTGAGCAAACACCTTCTTACATCTTGCTACAGACAGTGAAAGGTGGTAAAGATGTGGGCTAGAGCACCCACATCTGCCCAATTTTTTTTTCTTAACTGTGAGGCCAGTAAAGTTGAGGTTAAACTAGATAGATGGTGTACCCCCAACACAATTTGGGTCTTACTCCTGCCAGTACCTCTAAAAACCAGGGCTCATTACATAATGACCCACCTACGATTTGTGTCCCGGTGTTGGATGTTTGTATTACGGCTGCCATTTTTTATTTTTTCCTCTATCTCTCATGAATTTACAATTAATTGTATTTCATCTAGGGTTTGGATATGCTGTGTAAGACTTCCACTATTCTTCCTTATGATGCATTTTTTTCTTTAATGTTTAACTTTTCTAAATATATATATATATATCTTTGTATTCCCCAGTGCCAACAACACTGAGAGGTATAAAAAACTTTTACTGTTTGCCATGTCCAATAATTAATAAATTTTAACACATTAAGATTTTACATTTCTGTAAATTAATTTCACAGTAATTTATGTGACAATATTTTGAATTTTGATCATTTGATAATAGTGGAACATTTGTAAAGAAAAAAAAAGTTTTATAATTTTGTTGAAGATTATGCTTCTTATCAACAATGTACATGTAACTCATAAGGTATCACCTATGCAATAGCAGTGATGTTTTGTAAATAGCTTCTTGTGATCAGTTTTAAAGCCTATTAATAGCTTATAACTAAACTTATAGCTTATTAGGAAATGTTATGCAAAAAAAAAAAAACAGTTTTATAATGAGAAAAAATAAAGTTTCAGTAAATATGATGTGATGACAAAATATTACACTGACCATTTCATACTGTCTCAAACGAGACAATGTTTCAGTCAGAAGTTTGTCTTTGTGTTTAGTTTCTTCTTCAACTTTTCCTAACATCTCTTGTGTCTTCTTTAGTGCATCAGTTTTTTCTCGCAAAGAACTCTGAAGTTCAAATATCCTAGATGTCCGTTCTTTGTCAACCTCTGAAGTCCCCATTTCAAAATGGGTCTTGAGGTCATCTATGAAATGAACATTATTTTCAATGTCCTCTGTTGCTTGATCTAGCTGCTGTTTCAGTGTGATAATTTGTTGGTCTCTTTCTTCAATTGCCTATAAAGAGAAATATTTAATAAATATAATTAACTGTTGAAGGAAGATTAAAATGGCAAAACATTTTAAATAACTTTGCTTCACTTTACAAATTATTTTTATAAAAATTGCTAAAGCACTTCCTGAATTTTTTTTTTATAATCAATTCATATTTTGTAGGAGCCAACAAAAAGAAGAAATTGCTAAGGTCACCTTTGTTAAAACAGCTAATGTTGCGTTCTCAGCATCCAGTCCAGCAACAGCAGCTTGAGTCTTCAGATCTCTAACCAAGTCTTGAAGTTTTGCAATTTCTTCATCTTTGCTCAGCAATACTATCTTCATGAAATAGAAAAAATATTCAAAACATAAAACTTGTCCACTGTCTACGGTATAGTTAAAAAATAAAAAACTTTTCTATATATTTTAAGGAAGTTTAGTAAACAAGTACAACTTCTCTACTAAACAATAAATAATAAGTAAATTGTATTTTACACTCTCCTCTTCATTTCGTAAAAGATTTTACATCTTTGGTACAAACATGTTTGATAGAAAATGTTTGATTTTTATAATTTTGTTGCACTAAGGTCACCTAATACTTCCTTGATGTCCATAAAAAAACAAGTTCAGCAACTTTAACAACTATTATGTTTTTGTCACACTTTCCAGTACTTTAAGCTAAATTGGATGCAAAGTTTCTTATGTTTTAAAATACTTCATAGGTCAATAGATAATGTATGAAAAGATGTCTCGGAAAAAAAAAAAATTTTATAAATTAAACTGAATTACACAATACCTCAGAACTCACCACAGTTAATGCTACATTGCTTTATTGGTATAAGTTTTTGTCCTATAACTTCTGTTACCTCATTGCATAAAAATATATACCATAAACTATTATTCTTCAAATACTTTCCTCAATCAAAAACCACCAGAGCATGTCTGTATTTTTGTATTGGTTCTGCCTTAAACATCACATTTACTCGGGCAGGATGTGAGACAAAGTGGCCATCTAGAGGCAATTACCTCTTTCAATCAAACTTATAATACAAATATATACTACATTTTAAATATCTTGTTATATCTCCAGATGGAAAGAAGAGAGGTTCAGAAGTGAGATAGATGCACAATTCCTTTTGGAAGTGAAGTGAAAACAGATCTACAGAGAACTGTAACACTGAAACACTCATGATACAGAATACTTCTGCTGAGATCACTAAATCCTCCTATAGTATAGTGGAGTTCAAGAATAATTAGCATTCAGTATGACTTATAACAGTTTTTTGAAAAACTCTTTACAAAAGTAAGGGCCCTGAACATGCATAAACACATTTACAGGTTTATGAAAAGAAAGAAAGATATCAAACTTAGATTGCACAGGACTGTGCCAGAATTGGGATTATCCAGACTACAAGGTTCATGATCCATTGGAATATTCCAATTGGTACTCAAACAAACTTAGCCCTTTTACTAAGGGTGAGTGGTTATACACATGTCATTGGGCAAAGTAGGTGCATGTAAGCACGTTGTCAGATTTTAAAAATGATATATATACAAGTTTTTTTTTGCCAATTGTCAAAATAAATGGCTTTTACTGATATTTCTTAATAGTACAATTATATACTATGTAGTTGTTGAGCTTAGGATTCTTCAACAGTAGGTATCTGTGACTT